CAAGGAAAACATGAATCAAAGGTTAAAGGCATGGGGTGTGAAGGCACAAAGCAAAATGGAAATTTATAGAAAATTGAAGGTCGTGGGGCGAGTTTACTTGAAATTTCAGTCTTACCATCAAACCTCACTTGCTCTTCGAAAGGGATTAAAGCTGGCAGCAAGGTTCTATGGTTCTGTAAGGATCGACAAACGTAGGGAGCAGGAGCACAATCAGATACCGTGGATGAAATTAGAACTGGAAAACATTACGGTGGTAAATTATATTGTACTTCCAGCACAATTCTCAGATTTTGATTCTTGGGGACAAGGATCATCTCGTGGGGCGGGTATTGTTATGGTCGGAGAAGAAGAAGAACGACAAGGAGAGGAGGATTTGGGAATGGACGAGCGAGGGGAGAAATTGGGAATGGATGCGCAAGGGTTAGGGATTGGAAAATGTAAATTGAGAATTGAAGCACGTGAAGGGCATATGATTAACTTACCGGATGAATTGGAGCAGGCTGAATGGATCCAGGAAGAGTTGGAGCAGTCCGAGTCAAAAGGCCAATACCTGCAGAAGAAAGGAAGGGATAAGTAGAGTTGTTAGAATTTGTTATAAAGGACAACCACCTGGCATTATTAGAATTACCGTACAACCATTGTAAATAAATAAGACCTGACTTGAGGCATTTTCTTCCTCATGCAATGAATGAATGACTATTTTCTTCTCTAAATTCTCTCATTCTCTTCTCGTATCTTTCTCTGTTTCTCTCATTCCATAACAAAATCAAGGAGGCAAAGGCAAAGGTCAGGATTATTCCCCTAAAGTTGTTGCCCAGATGAAGGTTTCTGGTTCTGAACTTTCTCATTTTCCCAGGCGAAACCATGTGGATCAATTTAGTTCTAGAGAATTTGTTCTTCTTACCTTGGATGTTGGACAGACAAATTCACAAGCATCTGTTTTCCAGCCAAATGATGAGCAGGCGGCTATTGTTGTTAAGATCCCAAAAAGGAACAGCAGAAATTCAATCAGAGAGGGGTATTTGATTGATAAGCGTCACAGCATGCCTGATGCCGCATTGAAAGCATGTCTGCCGGAGGTAGAGCTTGAACTCAATTCGAGGAAAAAGGGTTCTTTTGTGGGTGTTCAAGACATTACCGCTACAGTCATACTTCCGAGTGGTGTACATAGCTTGCCAAATAAAGGTGAACCTTCGTCACTGATCCAACGATGGAAATCAGGTGGAGCATGCGATTGTGGTGGTTGGGATATGGGTTGCAAACTTAGGATTTTGTCTAATAAGAGCCAATACAACCAGCGACCTAGTTCGTTGAAAGGTTCTTCTACTTCTAATCAATTTGAACTTTTCTTTCAGGTTTGATTCTGGTTCTTATGCTAATCAATCTAAAATGTCCATTATATTATAATAGAAAATCTAAACTTATTTCTTTGTTTTAATTATAACAAACAGGGAGGAGCACATGACAAGATGCCGGTCTTCAGCTTGGCCCCTTTCAGTGATGGTATATATTCAGTCAAGTTCAATTCATCACTTTCTCTTATGCAAGCCTTTTCGATTTGTATTGCTGTTTGGGATAGTGGAAATCACTGTGAGCTTTCAGAATCAGTTCCTTCGTATGAAGAAAGAACTTTGGGGGAAACCATGGTAAATGACAGAACAAGTGAACCTAATCCAATTGAAGCAGCCGCAGGGGCCCCTGCTAGGTATGTCTTGTATCCTCCTGTTTCCCCGGTCGGAAGGGTCTAGAAGAATCTTGCACAATGGACAATCATAAAATTAAGTGTAAAGGTATAATTATATGTTAGGCAATGGTCAGTGAAATATCCATATCCATCACCAGTGAAAAAATTAGTGAACAAGGCTTGTTTGTAATAGCCAGGGACAGGTTCCCTTCAGAGCTTCGGGTCGCCGTATTTTGATTTACTTTCGACCGAAGAAGTGATGTGTGATGTAGTATGAGCAAAATTTTCCATCAGTGTAAGTGTGCTTTGCTATAATAATTGGAACTATGATATTGCTATGTGCTTTGCTCCCAACAGATTATCAAAGAATTATAACTATAATTGGAACTTTAGCTCCTATCAAAAAAAAAAAAAAAATTGGAACTTTAGTTTTCTAATATCATTGGAAGTATTCATCTGGTTCCTTGTGTATGTTAAGGCCATGAGGAAGATAGAAAGTTCCATGGCAGCTTTTCATTGGCTTTTCGTCGTCAAGAAAAGGTAATATATAAGGGCAAACTGCAAAGATACTTGCAGAGAGATTACAGCATGACCAATTGTCAACAATCCAAAAGAAGAAAAGAGCTTCAATTTGGATCCAGAGATTTTATAAAATGATTGAGCTGAGCAGATTGAAAGCAAGAAAAAGCTGAAAGATTTACTTTGAAGGCCACATGTAGGGGCTTTTGAACCCTTTCGAGTACTACACGGTGACAAGATTTGGGAACATAAAATGTGATGTCTTTCATTTTAGCATATAGGAATATGGCATGCACCAATGATTCAATTCAATAATTACCTTTACCAATCAAGGATGGAGACGTCCGAACATAAAATTTTAAGGAATTATATGAAAATTTTAAGAGTACAAAATTATATCATCAATGAAAAATACAAATAAAACATTTAAACTGTATGAGAAACTTAAAGTTTTCAACAGAGTGTGATCTCGTCCACCTTCCCTCACTCCATCCTTATTACCAATTGGCACCACTCTTTTTGTTGTACTCAAAACTATATCTATTCTTATGATTAGATACTAAAAAAAACCATCAATCGGTACTCAAACTTTACTTTTATCATTCATAGTGCTTAATGATATCTACGCAAAACATAAATTAAAATTTTATTTAAAAACTTCAAACTTTTTTAAGAATCATTCATTATTAACTAATTTCTTTACTTGGAACATTCTTTTCTCTATATCGAAGATGCCACTTGTTTCATTACAAGCTATTCTTAGTTACTTTCACCATCAAAGCTACTGCGTGCTTCTTCTTTTTTGCTAAAATATTGACTAGTGGATGCCAAGAAGTCTCGTTTGTTTGTTTCCCATTTCAATGTCGAACCCTTTTCTTAAAGTAGTTTTTGCTGGAATTGCATTCATCTTTTTTTTTCTTTTCCGAACTACTTTAGTGCCAAATTCTACCCAAAAAACACATGCTAATCTGTTTGCAGCAAACTTTCACAGTATTTTTAACGCCATTTCCTTAGCCGCTACCTAACAATAGGCACTAGAGATCAATATGGTTGACAAGACTTGAACCAGTGGATGAATTTTTGAATCGTTGGTTCATTTCAATAGAAGTAAATTCTTTTTTTTTAAAAGTAGGTGTAGGGCATGATAGAGTAGAGGAATTTTTTGTCCAACATAGATATGAAACAATTATAGTAAATTATTTATTCCATTTCGTCTGTCCAGAGATGAAATCAGGATATTAATTTGGGGAGGTAATATATATATATATATTTATTTATTTATTTATTTATTGAAAACGGGTTGTCATTACTAATCACTTTTGCCCATTGGCATTACAATCAAGCTGCAGCAACGCTGCTATTTCTTCCGGAGGGTCCACATATACTGTATATTCTCCTACGCCTGCCTTCGCCAACTTCGTCATTCCATCAACGATCAGGTTATCTTCCCAAAGGATGTAAGCTACTGAGACTAGGAGTATTCATGGTCGGTTAACCGTATCGTTAAGTTTAAATGATCGGTTAACCGTTATAACAATTATTAAATTTTGTTAACCATAATATAACCATTAAGAAACGGGTTCGGTTATAGGATAACGTTTGGTTAATTTATTACAATATTTTTCAAACATAAGACAACTTAAAATTTTTAAAATTTCATAAAATTTACCATTATAAAAACATATATATTTAAAAAAATCTTATTTATTTGTATATGTATTTTATTTTATAGAAATATATATTACGAGGTATATACATTTTTTTACAGTTTAAAATCTTACGTGTATATTTATATTTTATAATTTAAAATCATGTATTTCCTTCATATATGTTTGATTTAAAGTGCTCTTATATAAGATAAACATAATAACTAAAAGATAAGAGGAACCATTTTGATTTTATATCTAATTATATTCTCTAAAAAATATAATTAATTAATTATAATTTATTAATGATTAACGAATGGTTAACCATTTATCAAAAATCATTAACCGTAAATGTAATCGTTAGTCGATATTTTTAGCGGTTCGGTTAACCGAAACCGCTAAACCTTAACGGTTCAGTTAATTACCTATAAAATGTAGCGGTTACATCGGTTAATATGTTAAGGTAACGGATTAATTTGAACACCCCTAACTGAGACTGCCCATATAACTATTAAAATATATAATTTAACTCATAGGTTATAGCAGTTACATCTATAGGGTGTATGTTTTTATGAACATATACTACTATATAATCACCTCATATTATTTAAAAAAAAAAAACTGAGGTTACCTATCTTCTAACATTTGTTTGTTTCCACACTTTGATATCTAGCGTTTTTCTTTGTTAATAGTGTCCTAAAATATACAAGTTACCTATTTACCTATCCCGAGTTGATTCTGGGATCGAGGTTGAGAAGTCGTCGTCGTCACCATTCACTCCTCTGTCATCTCAACCAAATGATAAGAGTGATGCTGTGACGTTTAATATGTCAAAGAAAATACGAAAAATGATATTGATGGTGAAGAAGATGAAGAAAATGATGATGGATATTCAACGTGGCGGATGTTGCTGCTGTTGTTGCTTATGCGAATATGGAAACGGAAGGTGCTAGGAATATGACAATGATGCAAGGGAAACCCTAAAAGATGGTACAAACTTGGAAGCCAATAAACATGGAAACTGAAAGTGTGCAAATCCTTTTTTCCCTTCAACTTTCAAATATCCTTCGTATCTTCCATTCTATGTCACCCTTTTGCATTATTTAATGTTTGGTTAAAGATTAGTGCAATGTAATCGAGATTATTTGCAATTAACAAGCAAATTTGGCATATGTTATTTCTCAAAAGAGCAATGGCAGTTTTTATGAATGAAAGTTCGGTTTACAAGAACTCTTGATCAGCAGTTCCAAGTACAGATAAATTATTAAAAACAATTGCAGGGCTAGCCATGCTTTACACATAACACGAAGATGACCGTGTTACATCGGAGGCCGACCACCGGCACTGAGCATCTGGCCAATCATGCTATTCACCTACAAAACATTGTGCATATAAGAACCAAATGTCAGCCATTGAACTAAGAAATAGATACAAAGTTCAAACTAATCCGTACAGAAACAAGCATGATTTCGATTCAAACAAGCCAGCTGAAATATAGAACTCTCTGCAGAGTATCCATAAATACAACAGAATGTTCTTTATAATTCTTCATCTAGAAGGTTAAAGCCAAAGGAAGTAATCACAAAACTAGCATATGTCATGCTTAAAACTAAAATAAAACACAAACTAGAAAAATTATGAATAATTTCAAACCCAATCTTACCTGCCAATACTTCGAAACACAGCGATCAATGCAACTATTTTCCCCCATGTTTAGCTCAGCCTCCTTGTACCTAAAGCAGAAATGTGTTATCATCAACATCATTTTTAAGGGAATAAAATTAACCGTATAACACACGTAAACCGATTAAATAGGTTGAACGAAATAATAAGAACAGCGGTGTTCAGACTTCTCATAACTTTTGTCAACGCACTTGTTGAAACAGGTTTGTGCAAGCCTGAAAGAAAATCATAAAAGTGCTCTGAACTCAGAAAAGCAAGTATTGGCAATAAAACCTTACAGAGTAATGGAAAATATTGTCACACCATCTGTAAGAAAGAAGCAAGCAAGGCCATAGAGGTCCACCATCAAATTCTAAACTAGGAAATTTTATTATACAGGCAGATAAGAAGATTGAGCAAACAGGATCAATTAATTTTTAAGATTTTGACCATTTCAGGTCAGGTCAATTCTAGGCCCAGAGTGGTTCTGTACAGGTCATTCAGATTTGAGTCTTGAGTTTTAGGGTTGGATCATCTTGAGTTACTTATTCAAGTCATTTCAGATTTGATCAGGTTAGGTTCAATCAATTCAAATTTGGGTTGGAGGGATTCAAGTTGTTAACTTTACCTCATAAAATCAAATTAGGTCGGTTTGAGTTTTAGGATGTATCAGATCAGGTTTTCGGGTTTAAGTCGAATCATGACAGGTCTAAATAAACAAGTGCATTAAATTTTGGGCAATTCTCAATTACCTGTTAAAGAGTTCTACCCTGTATTCCATCTCTGTTTCCGCCATTCCAAACGCCTGCAAAGTGTTCAAAACATGAACTTCAAATTACCCAGATCGCATAAATGGTAAAAGACACAGATAAATATAATTGCAATAACCAAAACCCAGAACGAAGCAAATTTCAAAGAACCATTTCCAGTTAGTTCATAATAAACACATTAATCCATCGAGACTATACATACACCCAAGATTACTTGAACACTCCAAACTCAAAAAAACAAAAAGGCCAAATCAATCAATAGAAAAGATCAAGTCTGTCTTCAGTAATTGATGCAAAGCATTGTTTATGAACTGAGAAAAAGGTGGTAACAGCTAACCTGCTCTTTGTCTATTCCAGCTGGGATGTTGGCAGCCATTGAACCCCTGAGAAACAAGCAAAGATCGGCCTAAATCTAACAAGAAATATCAAGGGAAAATATTTGAACAGTATCAGAAAATAGAGGATTTTATAAAATTTTACTCACGAGGTTTTAATATGATTGGAGAAAAACTTTGTTTTTGTTAGGGTTTAGGAATAGCCGTAAACAAGGAAGTGGCAGAAAATGTACTGTTGAAAACTGGTGAAAATACCTGTTGGCTTCCTCTATTTAGTTAATATGTTAACTTAGCCCCTCTTAAATAGATCAATCTAGTCCCTCTATTGTAGAGTCTGATTCAAATTAGTCACTCTACTATGAAATAGGTCAAATTATTCTTTGCACTAATCAAAAAAATCAAATAACGTTAACTTTTTACATATTTAATTTTTATTATTTAAAATAACATTAATTTTATTTTTTTCAAAATCAGCTTCAAATAAAATATTTTGTTTATAAAATTATAAAATATCAAAACATTAACTCATTTAAACAGATATTGACATTTTCTAGATATAATAAATGTTAACTCTGTAAAAATGATATTATTTGCTTCTTTTAATTAGTATAAAGAATGAATGAATTTATTTAATAAAAAACTAATCTAAATTTAATAATAGAGGGACTAATCTGGACCAATTTATATAATAGAGGGACTAATATAAAGTAATCTATATAATTGAGAGTGACTAAATTGATGCATTTAACAGTATAGTGACTAAATTGATGTAGCCTATATATTAAAGGGGTCTAACAGATACCTTGACTCGTTGAAAACTGACTGGCATTGTAAAGCAGGGGCTAAAGCTGTAATTTGATAAATTCTCCTAGTTCCTCGTATAACTTTCGCCACGAGAAAAAAAAAACCTTGTTGAAGCTTGTAGGGTTTTGCAGGCAAAATACTGAGGTGGGTCAGATTCCGTGTTTCTCCTTTTCCTTTGGTTTCCCTCTTCTAATGTGTTTTCCCCATGATTATTTGGGTTAAATTTCTTATTTTTTATTGTTATTCCTCCTCCTCCTCCTTCTTTTCCAGATTTTATCGATAAAATATCTGGGTGTTTTGGATCTGGATAAAGGAAACAATGGAACACGGGTCTTTCAGTGATAATAGTGCTGCAACTTTTTCGTTGACTGATGAGGATCATACACTAGCTAACTCCGTTAGGTTCACCTTGAATCAAGAGTCAGTTCAATCACCTCTGTTTAATTTTTTTTAGTTTTTTCTTAGTTGTTTTTGCTTGATTAGTGGTGGCTTTTCTTTGTTTTAAACGATTAAGTTGAAAGTGGAAGCTATAATTTTAATTGTGCAGCCCAAGGGTAACATTTTCTGGGTACAGTATTCCTCATCCATCACAAGCTCGAGTTAACATTAGAGTTCAGACAACTGGTAACTCAATCCTACACACTTCTTTCAAACTTTAATGGATCATTTTTCATCGACTGTTTTGGCAATTTCTCCATTCGTTTTCCTGCTTTAAGATTTCTGGATATAAGTATGTTATATGGAGCAACAACATTGTTGATGGGTTCAAGATCTTTTGGTTGTTTCAGTTGGATAAGATGCAATTTTGGTTGTGAAACTTGTGTTGTTTTAATGAAATTGTGCAGGTGATCCAGCAAGTGAGGTGTTGAAAGATGCATGTCAAGATCTGATGCTGATGTGCAGGCATGTGAGGAGCACTTTTGACAAGGCTGTTGAAGATTTTAAAGCAAGCAATGCTGTCAAGGCCATGAAAATCGATTCAAAGGAAGAAAGTAGTGATTCAGAAGAGAGTGAATGAAATTAATGTCTCTTATCTTAATACTATCGTGTGCTCGAGATGTCATTAGCTCAATCTGAATTGCTTCTTTTTGTTATTTGAATCGAAGCTTTGCGCTCACAACCTTGCGCAGGATTAACTATCTTTATTTCATGGACAAACTAGAGTTCCCCATCCTTAATATCTGATGTACTTGGAAACAAGAATTGTAGGCTTTGCCTAAGCAATCCATTCGGTTTACATTGTTTTCAAAAAACTTCTACTTTTGCCTACAAAATTCCCAATTTTTTGCAGTTAAATTTCAGGAAATGCATCAAGCTATTTGAACTTCAGGCTTTGGGGCATTTTTTGTTGGTTTCATCGAGTTCGTAGTTATTTCTCCTGGTTTTGACAACTGCAGTATTTCCAACAGCGGTTGGAACTCTGCTTATCTTTTTTGGATCATTTGCATCCGGCAAGCCTGCATTAAGCATCGATAAACATAAACTCGACCATTGTGTAACAGGTAATGGTAGATCGAGAAATTTTATCAAATGGTAAATACCATTAAATGCATAAATCTTATATATTCTTCAGCTGAGTTCAATTATAGCTCATATAATTTGTAAAAGACAAAGAAACATAGTCTTTGTTACATCGACATTAAGTTAAAACTTCAAACCAGAAGGGGGCATAAAATTGACTTGTAATCTTAAGCTAATATTTTGCAGTTCAATTAAGATTCAGTATGCATCTCTTTTCCCCGCCCCCCTCTCTTCGGCGACCAAATCGGGATTGAGAAAGAATCAAATTAAAAAAATGTGTTACAGCATGTCTAAATTGTTGCAATAACGATGGTATGGTATTTAAATTCATTTCCAACGCACAGAAAACTTTGGGTAAATTAAATCTTAAGCAAAGGTTAATGGAATATTAACTCTAATCAAATTTCCAACACATTCTAACTCTATTACTCTTTAATTGGATCCTAGTATGCATGAGCAAACCAGGGTTTGCATTCCTTTATACTGAATGAAGTCTGGTTTTTAATCAACTCAATATAATTATAAGATCCAGGTGGGTAAATTATCACGAAAAAGATGGAACAAATGCAACTGAAATTAACTTTGAAACTTCAAAAGGTTAGGGGTACATAATATGATAAACTGATCACGCTTTGCTGAAAGAGCAAGCAAAGTATTGAGAATGTAGAACTCAGGAAATGACAACTACCAAGGGATATAAGGAAATTTAGAGTTGAATTGCCTAAATGGCAACAAGTTCCCTTTTTAATTATTCCTCATATTCTGGTTCCTCTTCCTCATACTCATCTTCATCGGCTGTAGCATCTTGGTACTGCTGATACTCAGAGACAAGATCGTTCATGTTGCTCTCAGCCTCGGTGAACTCCATCTCATCCATGCCTTCTCCTGTATACCAGTGCAAGAAGGCTTTCCTCCTAAACATAGCTGTAAATTGCTCGCTCACACGCCTAAACATCTCCTGTATGGATGTTGAATTGCCAATAAATGTCGATGCCATCTTAAGGCCTGTGGGTGGGATGTCGCAAACTGTTGACTTCACATTGTTAGGAATCCACTCAACGAAGTATGATGAGTTCTTGTTCTGAACATTCAACATTTGCTCGTCCACTTCCTTAGTGCTCATTTTGCCACGGAACATGGCTGATGCAGTCAAGTATCGCCCGTGTCGTGGATCAGCAGCACACATCATGTTCTTTGCATCCCACATTTGCTGAGTTAGCTCGGGAACTGTCAGGGCTCGGTACTGTTGTGAACCTCTTGAAGTGAGTGGAGCAAAACCCACCATAAAGAAGTGAAGCCGGGGAAATGGGATGAGATTAACAGCAAGTTTCCTAAGATCAGAGTTGAGTTGACCAGGGAATCGCAAGCAGCACGTAACTCCAGACATTGTTGCAGATATCAAATGATTCAGATCACCAACTGTCAAAGATAAAAAAGAAAGCAACAAAATGTAAGAACTTTGAAGATCTAAATAAACAGATCTTAGTTCAAACTAACTCAACTTTAGCCTTTCAGGAAACTGTTGTTATACAAATCAGATCATATAGCAAAAACCCACAACAGCATCGAATAAACAGTACAAAAATTTCAATTAAAAGACGTAGCGTAGAGCCAAACAAACAGATCAAATTACTCAGAAAAAGAACGATCCCTAAGGTCTATAAACAGATATTACTACAAACTCAATTTTCGCCTTCCAGGAACCTATTTTTATTCACAAAAATATAATTTCAAAAACCAATGTCAGAAACTAAAGAGCAAAATCAAAGGAAAACTTACAGCTGGGAGTGGTGAGCTTAAGTGTCCTGAAACAAATGTCATACAATGCCTCATTGTCGAGAACCATACACTCATCAGCGTTTTCAACCAACTGATGAACTGACAAAGTAGCATTGTAAGGCTCCACAACAGTATCAGAGACCTTAGGAGATGGGAAAACAGAGAAAGTCAACATCATCCTATCTGGGTATTCTTCCCTTATTTTCGATATCAGAAGTGTTCCCATTCCAGATCCAGTCCCTCCTCCCAGAGAATGACAGACCTGAAACCCTACAGAGAACAAAAAAGTCCATAAACACCAATTATTACAAAATAAGTTGAACAATAAACAAGTTTTCCAAGAGATCATTAATTTACCTTGAAGACAATCGCAATTTTCAGCCTCCTTCCGAACAACATCAAGGACAGAGTCGATTAACTCAGCACCTTCTGTGTAGTGGCCTTTAGCCCAGTTGTTTCCGGCGCCGGACTGGCCGAAGACGAAGTTGTCGGGTCGAAAGATCTGGCCGACAGGACCAGATCTGATGCTGTCCATGGTGCCAGGCTCGAGATCCATGAGGACGGCACGAGGGACAAACCTACCACAACTGGCTTCATTGTAGTAGACATTGATCCTCTCGAGTTGAAGATCTAAGTCTCCTTGGTAACGACCGGTTGGATCTATGCCGTGCTCGGCGCATACAACTTCCCAGAACTTGGCTCCTATTTGGTTGCCGCACTGGCCACCTTGAATGTGAAGGATCTCACGCATTTTTGCTTATGGATAGAAGAGAAGCAAACAGTAAAAAGATTTAAAGAGGATGGAGAAATTAGAGCTGCAGGATGTAAAGTTGAAAGCGGAAGATGCGAGAGCCAGGTTTTTATATACAAACCCTAATTAATTTATACTCTGAATGAGAAAAGGTTTATTTAATTTCAATTATTTTACCTATTTTGTCTAATTCTGATTATAGACCCTCTAGACTATTGAAATTTGAAATTTTTACCTTTTTATTCCCTCTATTTTTATTTTGATAAATCTGTTTCTTTTTTTTAATTAGCTGCTTCTATTTTGATTTAATATAATACAATCCTTTTATTTTCTGAATATATTTAATACTGGACGTAAAAACTTATAATGTCAATTAAACGAAAATAACTAAATTGTTATCGATTTGATCTAAATTAAGAGTATAAAATCGAAATATATTAAACTAAAGTAAACAAATAAAATTTAAACCTTAAAATAGGGACTAAAATTGGAATTCGACCTTTGTTCTTTTGTTGATGATGAATTTTTCTCAGTCTACGAGGCTGTTGACGGTAACGGACGGGAAAAGGCAACGGCTACAAGCGGAGTTAAAAAGTGAAATTTTTGAAATTCAAAAATTGGGAGACAGCTGGATGGCATTGTCCGCTAATTGAAACAAAAATTCAAATTAGGAGGGATGGCGCCATTCTACCTCTCTACCTTATAAACAGCTGGCCCCATCACCATCACTCATTTTCTTTTTGGATTTCATCTCATGAACTAAAAATTACGAAATGCTCGAATTATTAAAAAATAATAATTAATGATATTTACTCATCTTTATACATATTTATCTAATATGTTTATTCTTTTATATTTTATAATTGTGTTTGAAATTTTTAGTCATCTTAATAAGGTTACTTTTAAGTAATCTATATCATTTTATTTGGTAATTAGAGGTAACAGCATTATCCGATATTTTTGGGCTAATAATATGAATGAAAAATTACTTTTTAGAGTGTGGGTGAATTAATATTTCAAGCGGTGTGATTGTTGTAGTGTATGTCGGAATACACATGGATGATATATTGTGTTCTCTTAACTGCATGTATGTGTCGAAAGTTTCTTGTATGGTCATTTTAGTTGGTGTCACCCGAATTACACAAAAGACCATAATCTTTGTGTTTTCATGAAGACGTTTTTTATTCCATACGACTTTTTCAAGTTACTGTTTAAAGCACCATACTTCAAAAAAATATTTCTAAAGTACAATAGGTGAAAAATTATATTTTCCTCACCTCATTATCTCAATAAAATTTCCAACATCACCCCTATAATTTTATATTTTCAAAATTAAACGAAGTAATCTAATTTATAATATTTCATTACCAAGGATAATTTAAAATTAATCAAACTAAACATACCCTTAAAAGTTAAAATATAATATATGTTATCGATATACTTAAACTAAATATTCCTTTATAATATAATATAATATATGTAACTAATACACTCAAAAAAATCCATTGAATCTAGAGAAAATAATTTTAGTGACCGAAAATGTCTTATAATATACGATTTTAACCAATTTTTTTTGGATTTGCGAAAATGACCAACAAATTCGCAACGCGATTTTCAAAATTGCAACACGAATTTGTAATTCGCAACACAGAAGTCAAATTCGCAAAGCGCGTTTATTTTCGCAACGCAAATTTTATTTTCGAATTCGAGACACAATATTAATTTCGCAACACAAATGTAAACAGTATAATCGCAACTCATAACCTAAAACACAAAATCACAACTCAGTCACATCTCCATCTCTCACTCTCTACGGCGACATCTGTCCCCATCTCCGACGAAATCCGTCCCCATCTCTGGCGAAATCTGTCTATCTCCATCTCTCAGAGTCACCCTCACAACCATTCACGACTATAAAATGGAAAATCAACCACTGAGGGTTAGTTTTTTTAATTATTTTTATTTTGAAATTTTTGTATTATTATTAAATTTTTCATATTTAAATTGATGATAAATTTACTGGTAATTTCAATATATAGATTAACCATTTCACTTACATTGCTTAGTAAATTCATTCGGTTGCTGCCAATACTGCTAAACTGTTTAGTCTTTAACCCTGTGAAGTTAGTATTTGTCTTTGTTTTGTCTTTTGGTTGAAGTAATGCAAATCATTCAAGTTTCAATTTGCAGAAGAAGAGTAGTTTCTGAAACTTAAATTCGCAACGCGATTTTAGTCTCGCGTTGCAATTTTCATTTTCGCGTTGCGAATTTAAGTTTCAGAAACTACTCTTCTTTTGCAAATTGAAACTTGAATGATTTGCATTACTTCAACCAAAAAACTATGATAGAATAATGACTTGGGTGAATACCGTGCTAGTTTGAAACATATTTGGTTTTGTTTTCACTGTTTAATATCATGTATGTTTATAGTGTATAATTTGTTGGTATATCTAACTTGATATGTTTATTGTTTTTTATTAGAAATTTTTTTCGGCTTCATTGACTCTAAGGAATAATTAAGCCTAGCTACTATAATAGCGTCGACACTTACACCTGTACAAAGAAAATTGTTTGAGGATACTTGCTTCGGGCCATGGCTGAAAGTACAACATCCAGGTGGAAATGCTATGTTGACCCATTTGTTTCTTCAGACCATGACTAACGATCTACCCGAGAGGATACAACGTGGTGATGAAGAGATATGGTTTCATTTTCCATCGGCGTATACTTGTTTTGGGCGGGAGGAGTTTTGCTTAATCACTGGGCTACGTTTTGGACACGATTAAGTAGGTCGGTACACTAGTCATATCGCTCGCCCATCATGGTTATCTAGGGTTTTTCCTGAGTTGGCAAAGGCGAAGCTCAGTTTACACGTCGACGACTTGAAAAGATTACTTCTTAAAGATGGTTTTACTCGGATGAATGACCTTGATATTGTCCAAGCATGCCTTTTATTACTTTTGAATGCCGACTTTTTAGGCAAAGAGGCCAGACAACCTATTTCTGAGGACCTAATATTATTGGTAGAGGACCTAAATGCATGGAACGTGTTTCCGTGGGGTTCATATCTATGGAAAGCTACATGGAAAAAGTTGTCGTCTGCCTTTAAGGACCGTCGTAGTTTGCGTGGCGATGGTTCCAAATACACTTTGGTAGGCTTTATTTGGGCCTTTAAGGTAAGAATTTCTATATAATGTTTCCAAAATAATAATTAATTATTTAATAATTACTAATGTTTGTGTATTATATTGTTTGTAGATTTGGATATTTGAGGTTTTTCCTAGCATGCGGACATATGCAAGAAAAAAATTCAAATGATATTCCTAGGGCTATTACCTGGAGGAGGATCCAGCTGTTGGATTGAGAAGATTTAATACCATATACGACGATGAATGATGTAAGTTAACACAAATACTACCATATATAAACAAGTTATTACTAGTAGACGTTTAACTTTGTTTAAGCTTTTATATTGTTAGGAGGCCAACTATCCATTACAGAGGCTGACGTAAGCGTTTTTTTGATGGGACGGATGATGAGCACCCCCCATTTTGAGAGCAATCACCTCACCCAGAGCCATCACCCGATCGAGCTGATTATACACCTCCACAATGAGAGCCATCACCTATTCCATCACATCATCGAGCCTCTTCTCCACCATCACCTCATGATAGGCGACCGAAAAAGATATCGCGACATTTATCTCCAAGTTCTCCACCTCCACGGGATGAGTTAGGGGAGTTACGTGATTAGGTCAGTGCTTTGCGTGATGAGGTCAGTACTTTACGTCACGACAATAGTGCATGGCGTGATGAGGTACGGTCTTTACGTGGTGAGGTAGATGTTTTACGCGATGACAATGGTGTTTTACATGGTGAAGTATCTACTTTACGTGATGAGGTAGTCGCTCTACATGAGATTGTTTCATCGTTGCAGAATAAGGTTCATACTCTACGCAATGAGATAAGTTTGTTTAATACTATACTAAAAATACAAATAACCTTTTTTCAGCAATATTTATTTATTTATTTACTGATTTATGTATTAATTTATTTTTAGCGGTCCGATAAGGTAGATGTTTTACGTTGGGTTTTTCTTGCACGACGGGGTTCACGCATCAAACGTCGTACACGTGTCATTACGTCTATGTTCACCCCAATAGTGCCAAGACTCCGTAAGAAGAAGCCCGATTCACCTGTCAAAGTTCAAGAGGCCCCTCCTATCATTCAAGAGGCCCCTCTCATCGTTCAAGAGGTCCCTTCCACCGTTCAAGAGTGTTGAGTTAATCGATCGACGTAATTGACCAAGAGGGGGGTGAATTGGCCAATAAAAATCTGGTGGAAGCTTTTGCAGAGAATTGAAAAGATTTGCACAGCGGTTTAGAGTGGTTCGACTTTCTCAACCAAAGTCTACGTCCACTACCTTAGCTATCCACACTAAGGATTTTCTAACAAATTCACTAATTTGTTCTTTCTTTTTAGGCCAAAGAGATAACCTTACAACACCCTGAAGAATATACCCCAATTCTTGAGAACACTCTTTCTCAAAGAGAAGATTACAAATTTGCAAACTTACAAGGAAATCCTCACAAGGTAGAATGTTTGCACAATTCTCGAACAAAGAAAAGAACACTCAAAAATGAATACATTTGAGTACAAGTAGTGTTCTTGAAAGCAAAATGAATATTGAATGAAAAATAGGCTTGAAATGCTCAAACTTGAGGTTTGATGTTTTCTCTTTGATTCTCTCTTGATTTTAGTTGATTGTTGTTTCTTATTGTTGATCAATGGCTTCTAAGCTTGTTTAAATACACCTTCAAATGATTCTGAACGTTGGGGATGATTAGTGGAGTCAATAGAGTCATTTAAGTGTGAAAACAATTAATTAAAGCAATTAGGAGCGTCAGTGCATCGATGCATACCCTAGGTGCATCGGTGCATCTGTGTAAAATTCAAATATTTTGACCGTTGGACTCTCAGTGCATCGGTGCACTAAGAGTGCATCGATGCATCAAGTGCATTCGATGTTTCAAAATAGCCAGAGTGCATCGATGCATGGCTGGTATATCGATGCATCAAATGCATTCGATG